AAATGAGCACGTTATTTAGTAGAAACAAAAAGGCATGACGTCTTAACACAAAATCCCAACTAATTCATAGAAAACCAATGATTTTGGTAATACGAAAAAGTATACATAATTCCCTTAATGGTTGATCTCTGATTTTGATGGCGTAGGATCATGTCCACCTTGGTACCTACGTTTCTTTATAGAATTTCTTCATTCTTCTTAGTGTGGGAGAGCCATGCTTGGGCACGAATGGGTCGGCTCGACCAGAGTGATACCACGGCCTCACAGAAAACCGGCGTGAAACAACCACAGCGTTATGTTTTTTCCGTGTGAGTGAGGTTACCGGAGGTCTCCCTCTCCCCAATCCCTAAATCTCCACATCTCTAATCCTCAAAAGGTCGGCAACGCACTCGTTACTCCTCCGTTGCGGGTGTCCATGGGCGGCGCTGATTGCTTACCATCAGGTAATAATACGTCATATCAGGTAATAAAGAAAGATAGTTAACGTAAGAATGAGAAAACAAAATTAAAAGGTTGAAAAATGTAAAGTAATTTTGAAAGTACTAAATATGAGAACTTACCCCATCCCCTCCCACACCACAGCAAAATGAGGCCCATGCCTTGTGGAGTCAATTGTCAAAAGCTTACAATGATCATTTGTAAATATCGTTCTCATCAATCAAAATGATAAAGAATACAAAGTGAACTATCCAATTCTTTACCAAGTACACATATAGTAAGAGGACAAACCAAAAAAATTGTTTGAACAGCTAATCAACAAGACTGGGAAGAGTATAGCGGTTGTGGACTGATTGGAAATGATAATGCACAGTAGAGATCGCGCTCTCCCGACACACTCACTGTGTACATTCGCCTTTAATGTCGTATGATTAAACATGAACCGAGGACTTTATCAAATTTTGGCACGCGTTTGCTCGCCGGGGATGGGGCGATAGGTGTTTGCAGATCGCGTATGCATCGCCTGCTCCCAGATAGAGCCGTCAATACGTCGACTCTGCGACAACCCTGAGTGATTGCTCGATAAACATGCAGTACAGATTTATTTTCAGTCATCTGATATTACGGTGCCGCACGAAAAATATAAGAAATGTCTTTTATATTTTAGTTGTTTATTTTTACAACGCCTATAGGTGTAAGTTATCTTAATTGTTTTTCGTTAATAAAAGGTAATCGTTTTATTACTAATTCAACCACCTTGTAACAACAATTTCTAATTCCAAGTTTCGCAGCTGGATGTCCACTGGGAAAGCTAGATAAGTAATAGGTACGTAACCTAGATCATCAAACAAAAGTATAATCTAGATTGAAAATAGAATCATAACAGACTATTTTTCTAACGTGACAAAAATGAATATTATGTAAAATACATTAAAGTATAATTTTATTTAATGACTTTAAAAGGACAGGTTTGTAAGGTCTATAAATCATTAAAAGGTACAATATGAAGATGGTATCTAACAACAACTGAGTAATATCAAGAAAGATCCCTGACCGAAGCTTAGATTATACATTGTAGGCTTCAGTAGCACGCTCCACCACTTTGAATGCAGGGAACCGTGAACCGAGCAGGATATTACGGATGTGCACTCAGATCTGCGAAATAAGCCTACAATCCTACGGATATGACAAAACTGTGTAGGTACAGAAATTAAGGGTTGTGCTATTTAATTAGCAACCCAATTTGTAAGTCTAAACAGTTTTGTCATTAATGTGCATAAATACACAGGTTTACATATGTTTTTTTTTAGGATTTAGAAATTTCCTTTTTTGTTCCGTAAACACGATTAATACATATTTACTTATATTTCTTTTCTTATAAAACTTTGCCCCACACTTGAATTTTCTTCTGTGTCGTGGTTATCGGGTGCCATTACGAACATACCATTCTACATACACATCAGAGGCCCGGAACAACAATTAGCGGATCACACAAAGATTTGTTCCGTGCGGGAATTGAACCTGCTATACGTTGCGCAACAGCCAGTTGCAAAGCAATCGCTAACCTATTACTACTCTTTATTCTGAAAAAACAAAAGATAGTTTAAAAAATTGCCAAATGCAAATACTAACGAAAATATTATACTTATTCTAGTCACTTAGCATAAGTTAAAACATCACACATTATAATTAGCAGATACGACAGTGGCTAGCTTCGTATGTCCGTGTGGAGGGTTCACATGGGCCGCGCAAGATGTGGCGTGGCCCCACTTCGCCATCCGTCAGGCTGTCGTTCGAGCGCCACGACACAGCTCTGCACTTAACTTCACGCCAACCATACATGTGTCTATGGCGACGAGGGGCTAACTTGCTACTTGTTAATAGTTATGAAAGGGCCACGGCGAGTGGTCATCCCACAACAGACACCCAATTATGAACCTCGACTGACATATAGTGGCGAATTTAGTTACATGTCAGCATTAATGTCGGATTATAATTTATTTCGGCTTAAAGGCGAATTGTAAGTGTAAATGATTAATAATTAAGAAAATTGTGTACCTACATTTTTATGTAATATCTCGATGATAGAAGTAAAGAAATAAAAAAAATTGACGTTATACTTTATTATGTATATATTTTTTCAGCTTCAGCTATACCTACTGACAGATCAATACTCTGCGGAACTGATTAATTTAAATACGTAGGGTAATCTTTTGGTACTCAGATACGTAGTTTAAGATACTTCATTAGATTTTGGTTAGTTCTTTTTAACGTTACTAGGTATCCTAGTGATCCGTAGTAACGTTATATTATTATACCCTAGAAGTAAGTTGTACCTACGTTCTTACTTTGTCCTGTCAACATAAAAATACAACAGAGATTTGATAAGTGTATGTTGTTATTTATAAATTTATTTAATATTAATATCAATACTTAATTCTTAATTTAAAATGCACTATTATTGAAATTAAATAATTATACATTGTCCCGTATATGGACGTTCTTCTGTGGCATGTGTACAGACATACAATTTCACATACCTACACATGACATCCAGACTGGAAACACCAATTTGTGGATCAAACAAAAAGTTGTTCTGATCGAAAACCGAGGCTGCTACACGATGCTTGGCTGCCGATTTCCCAGCCACCGCGTCAACCGTGCATAATAATATTATTACTTATCAATTCATATTTCTTTAGAAACCAAATTAGACGAACTTAACCTAATAAATCCTTACCCAAAACTTAATTACACACGCTTCTGATATGATAAGTAATAACCAACTGAATGTTGATGAACAGCTAATTACAATACCAATATACAGCTGAAACCGATGAAGCCCATCCATATGACAAAGCTATTGAGGTCAATGGCAATTTCACAGCAATTTTTGGATTTTAATAGCTCTGCAATAGACAAATGAACAATAAATACTAAGAATTGCCGCAATTAAACTACAATCAATATAATAAAAATCTGCAGTTAAAGCAAATGGCTTTTGGATGATCATATTTCTTTCGGAATAAAGTTGCCCAATGAACATAAATATGCTATTGGGCAAGCAAAAAACGGGCAATGTAATTATTCGGAGAATTGTATATTCTTAATGGAGACAGTATTAATTTATCTAAAGACTTCCAAGTAGCTATAAGTATAGAAAAATTTGTCTTTGCATTACATATCACCTACTTTTTTTATTCAAGTTTCAAATACGATTTTATGTAGGTACCGTGTATTTAACTTAGCAAATTGTTAAGTAGACACCTAGATAGGTATTATTCGTGGCTACCTATACGCCGAAGGTAGATCTGTCCTTAGGTTAAGCTGCACTTAATGCGATCGATCTGTGCATACTTAAGTGCCATTATTAACGTCTTTGGTCTACTCAATCTTGAGTCAGTGTATATCTACCTACTCTTATACATGATCAGGTATCTGCATTTATCTTCGTAGGTTCTTAATTTAGGGATCTTTATAATAAAGTGTAGGTACTTAACCTACCTCATAGATTAACATGTGATATCATAAACTAAGCCTACCTTATCACTTAGATTGGAAACTAGACAGTTAGCTAACAAATAAAAAAAAATGTGATAGAGTTTTTATTTTATTATATTTATTTGGGACAAACTCGCAACAGCCTCCCAAAACCGCTGCAACTACTGTAAGCTAGGATTTACAGTAGATATAACCACGAAAATACTCGAACACTGAAGTCACGCCCCAGGTACCTACATGATTGACTGTCTTGGTTCCCGTAACGAAATAAATCAGAAGAGAATAAAACGAAATAGTTTCGGTAAGTCGGTTTAACTAAAGTGGGTAAAAGGCTAATTGTAATGTTGGAAAGCGAAAGCTAGGGTTACGAATTTACCATCTCGATGCCGCAATGTTTAACAACTGAAAACTGAGTATAAGTTTTTAATGAACCGCAAATATACCTACTATTGAATCTACCTAGCCCTTATAAACAAAATATACGCAGTGTAGTCAAGCATGGCAGTCTTATCAGCTTTATAAAACACATATGAGCTGTAATCACGGTGTTACTGAACCTCCTGGAGGAGCCGTTAAATAGGTATGAATTTTTTAACTGACTTCAAACAAGGAGGAGATTCTCAATTTGGCCGTATTTTTTATGCATGTGACGGCACAATTCTATATCTCTATATCGATTCTCTGTATATCTATATCTATATCGATTATTTCTCCATTTAAAAATATGTTTGAAAAATAGAAAATTTTCTTTGTGTTGTCTTATTAAATATTGAGATTTCTGTGGTTACCGATTTACCAGCTACAGCTTTTTTATATATATAAACAAACAGTATAAAATACCACCAAATAAAACAAAATTCACAAAAGAACTAAAATTTACTACTTACTTACAATATAAAAAATCACTAAGAAGTCAAAAATAATTTAAAATTTATTCTAAACGTCATTAGCCTAACCAACCATCATTTTAATTTTTTGAGTCAGTGCTTGCTGCGCCATGTCATGTGTACCTAGGTAAATACCGCTATAGGAACGTGGCGAGGTGTGTACCTAATCTAAAAATGAATATGGCGGTAGGTTAGGGTAATGTCTTATTATTAAGTTAATTAATTTTAACTTTGTAGTGTTTTTTTTTTTATTTTGACGTCGATTATTTTTTACAAACATATAAAGTTGCCTAGACTAAACCATGTAGCTGTAAAAGTCACTAAATAATCAGGTCACGTTTTGAACTTGCCTAGCCCTAATTGTTTTAACTTAAATTGAAGAAAAAAACTTTTCGTTTTTATCGCGTAGTATGTAGGTATGTAATACAAAAAGATCGATGCGCGTAGTTCCTAATGCATAGTTTGTAGCGGATGTTTCGTAGCGCGTTGTTCGTAGTGCATATTTCGTAGTGCGTAGTTCGTAGAGCCTATAGGTCTCTTTCCTTCCACCTTACCAGTGATTAGTAACTTTTCCAAGTTATCATTACCCCTTCTGGCAGATACGCTGGACGGATCAGATTCGCACCACTCTCAACACTACAGTCCACGATGCTCTCCACTCGGCGGCAGATAGAAATAGATGGCGGAGAGTAATACGCAGTACACTGCTTCCACGAGGTGGTCACGACCCTCAGCACTGAGGAAACCGACGCGAGGAGGAGGAGGAGGAGTTCGTAGAGCGTTTGTGGTTCGTAGTTCAAACACACAACACTAATACGGAGAACTAAAAAAATTGGATCACAATAAAAAGCCAACATTTCAGGGCAGCCGGTTATCCAGCTATCGTATCAACTGTGAACTCATATTATGGTCTATGGCTAACAAAACGGTTTCTAATATTCAATAGAATATCAGAGCACAACTTGGTTTTAAGGCGAGTTCATTCAACTATTACCTTAATGCAGCTAATTTTAAAAGCACTTTTTTATTTAAATTTAATTGCTAGGTACCTACCTTGAAAATGAATAACACTGGCAAGAGACCCAGCTAGTAAGCCTGCCCAAAAGACAACGGGGATGACCTAACCAACGAGAGCTTTATTCAAACTTAACCCGCGAATTTATGTGCAGTGTAAGAGCTAGAAAAGGCGATATCTAAATATTCGATTCGATTGAACGATTCGCTAGGTCCGAATGCTTTATTGATAATTTAAATTTAAATTCTACTGATGAGTGATGCTACAGGTTGTGTCTACAACCGTTACTACATGACTACTGATAAGTAAAAAAAGTATAAAAAAAATTAACTAAAAATCGCGTGTTACTCACGTGTAAATATTGAGAAAAGCTCTACTATTTTCGAACCACAGAGGCTGAGCAGAGCAGTAGGCTGCGCGACGTCGCCGCGTCCGCGCACGCTGCTCATGAGGAAGAACCCCTCTGTGGTTCGAAACTAGTAGAGCTTTTCTCAATATTTACACGTGAGTAACCCGCGATTTTTAGTTAATTTAGTATGTCTCACGATAGTTATTATAAAAAAAATCTTTAATTTTAAAGGTTTAAATCCTGAAATGTACCTATCTAATTATCTATATCTATACTTTTATACTAATATTATAAATGCGAAAGTAACTCTGTCTGTCAGTCTTTTCTTCACGCTTAAACTACTGAACCGATTTCTGTGACATTTCGGACAGACATAGATTGGAACTCGAGAAAGGTCATAAGATAGTTTTTATACCAAAAATCTGCGGGAAGTTACTATTCGACGCGAACGGAGTCGCGGGCAAAAGTTAGTTTATTTATAACTTAGTCTACATTATTTATAGACCTTATTACCCTGTTACCAACGAAAAATATTTTGTATAACAGTAGGTAAGTACCTATGACAATATTCAATAATTAACTTTTAAACTTTCGCGTTTCATATTTAGAACACTTTTCGCGTTAATACCCGCGTAATTATAATAATAAGTATGTTGTAAATTCAATAAATAATTATTCATAAGAGATGTAGTGACTGGAAATATCTACATACATAGATGTACGGAGGGCTTCGTCCAAACAAAAAACATCTCCGGTAAAATAAAACAAAAAAGTTACCATTGTAGTGTGCTCCGGAACTCGACGCCATCGGTCATCTCGTTAGCGCTCAATATTCCGAGCCAAATGCCTGTTAGTAACCCTTTGGTTTATGTTTTGTTTAGGTATTCGATTGGGGGATGACAATAATAGGATTTTACTTATTAAATTTTATTCAATTGTAATTTTTTTCATAGTTATATTTGCTTGCATAAACTTAGCAGTGAGTAGCTAGGTAAATATTGCCAAACTAAGCACATTTGAATTCTGGCAAATTTTCCGAAAACAAATAAATATTAATTTTACATCTACCGTACCTAATAAGTTCGTACCCTATGTTTTTCCTTTTGCTTTTTAATCTTCAGGTGTACCTAAGAAGGTACCTATGCAATTTTAGTTTTGGGTTCAATTTGTTTTTTTGCCGTGTAAGGTTACGGGTGGCCCTTTCTTTCCTCTCCCCCCATTCCTCCTGAATCTCCAAAACACTAATCCTTAAAAGGACGGCAACGCACTCGTAACTCTTCTGGTATTGCAGATATGGGCGGCGCTAATTACTTACCATCAGGCAATCCGTATGCTCATGCATCATTATCAGAGAGCGCTAAGAAAGGTTATTCTTAAAACTCAATAAGTACCGAGGAAACTGACATCTTCTTACTTATAGGTGGTCTTTAAGGATGGAATCCAAATCCTTCAATTAATGATGCCTTCTGCCATAGCGCAGTAGTGGGTTTCAGACTGTTAATAACTACTAAGTCATCCAAATCCCAAAACCTTAGAAATCATAATCTCCAAAAGGCCGAAAACCGGTTACTTACCTACCATCAGGTAATAAGGCCGCAAATTTGGCGCCCTGTTAATTAGAAAAAAGATTATAATTAAAATCGACTGATCTAGTGATATCATAAATACTGAAATAAATTTAATTTACTTACCGTTTTACACAAGATATAAAATACACTCTGTAGATGAAATTGCTTTGAAATACATAATCTATTCTAATATTATAAAGAGGTAAAATTGTCAGTTTGTATGTAGTGTAGGGGGTAATCTTTGGAACCGCTGGTCGGATTTCCAAAATTCTTTCACTGATCGATAGCTACAATGTTCCTGAGTGCTATAGGCTATAAAACATTACGCTACGAGTAAATGGAGCCGAGCAACGGGTGGAGCCGCGCGAGTGTAGCTAGTAGTACATATGTATCTGTACTTTGCCTGGGGTTTCAATCAACGAGGACTTTTTCTACTAATATTTTAAACACGAAATTTTAATTACGACATTAATTGGATGTTTGTTACGTTTTCACCCAAAAACTACTGAAAAGATTTGAATGAAATTTACACAGAGATAGATTATATTCTGGAACACATAAGGTACTTTTATTCCTACAGAAATGTAGGTGAAGCCGCTGGCAGGCGATAATAGGTAGGTAATATTATACACACAAAATATGACTAAATAAAACAAAAGTATGGTAATGAAAACTATTTATTAATTATATGACAGGACTTCCACCTAAAATTAGAAATGATAACAAAAACTTAAAAACTATAAAACATAAGCCCAGGAAAAACTCAAATTAAACCTTAATATATCCGAACCGCTCCGAATGTACCATAATCTAACCTACATTAGTATTTACATCATAATTATTTCTTTAGTGATACTCACGGTAATTTCATGTTTTACATTGCAAAAACACTTGGGGGCGTAGGCCTACCATGACGTGTTAAAACGTGAATCTTTCGGGCGAGAAAGACGGATGGAGCTATACACCTTTTATAGCTCCATCCCTTGTCAAGTCATCTGATAGGTTGTTGATAATTCAGTCAACCAATCAGATGACTTGAGATTAAATTGATTTTAACATTGATCGGCCTTTCGGAAACCGGGTGTGAGTCTCCAACCACCAAATTTGTGTAAAAAATATTTAGATGAACTACTTACGTATTTACATAATTTCATTATATGTATCTACTAGTCACAAATATATGATCATGTAGTCCAAATTATTTAATTAATATTATTAAAGTCTACTAAGGCATTTGTGAGAGGTAAATGTATTTAATTTAAAAAGAAATGTATTGTGTGATCTTTAATTTTATTTAGTTTACATTACATTTTGTTTTATATAAACGAAAAAATTCATCACTTTTTTTATTACTATTCGTGATCGTCGTTCGCCGAAGAATATAGTCTAATCATCAAGGCTAGAGTGAATAGGCTCTTGATAAACTAGTGCGCCTTACCATCAACGATTGCATCACTGCTTACCATCAGGTGGGATCGCAGTCAAGCACTAGTTTATAGCAAGTTAAAAAAAATCCCAACCCTAGTAGGAGTAACATCTTCCGTCATCATCGAAATAAGAAAAAAACCATAATCAAATTCAAATGTAATGTAGTAAGTATTAATTAGCGGATCGTTTGTCACAAACTTGATATGCTTTTACATCGATGTAAATTAAGTTTATAATATCTTAAACAACATCTAAATCTGAATTAACGTTTTAAGTAAGAAGTACTTAAATTGGGATTCACTTTATTATTTAGTATTTGTAAACAGGATTTTTAATTAGATAATATACTCGAACAAAGGGTTATCATAATGTATAAGGAGTTCATTAAAAATACTGGTGCGTTTTAACATTATGTTGTTTAGCCACCGGGCAGTAAGGAAAATTACATTTGGTAACGGAATTCGAAAACCTATCGTTTTGTTTTAAACATGTTTATTCATAACAAATTTGTTTCTTAAGAGAATTAAATTAATAATTTAAGCTTTTAAATTGATCACATTTTTTTCTACGTAATTGATTGATAATTATTTAGATATAAATTTCAAAGTCTACTTTGAAAGTACCAACAAAAATTATGAATTTTAAAATCTATTTTATAAATGAATACACAGTTTTGTGACTTTTCGTGTCAATTACCCATTGTAACATTATACAATCGAACTGTGACAAGGATTAATGCCAATTTGTTAAAAAAAAAACAAAGCTGCGCCTCTTTCAATTCACAAATGACAACATTTTCGTTTCCATGTAAGTATATAGTTTCTTATAACAATTAATGTAGCTCAACACCTACGCATTTAATCGCTATAAGTGTATACTAATATTACAAAGAGGTAAAATTTGTAAGTTTGTATGTGAGGGGTAATCTTTGGAACCGCTGGTCTGATTTTCAAAATTCTTTCACTGATAGATAGCTACTGTGTTCAGGAACACAGTAAGTAAAGTAAGTAAGTGCTATAAGTAGGCTATATTTTATACCTGATTTGCCAATTTTAGTCGAGCTGTAACGTTGCTGTTTTCAAAATCCCTGGATACATCAATTTTATATGCATACGCAGCCGCGGGCAGAAGATTTTAAATAAGAAACAAAAGGCAGCGCAGACGCCATTTTGTTCAAATTACATATAGGTAAGTAAGTAGTTAGTTAAAACATTATTCGATCACAGATTATTGTACGTTTTGGTAAACAGATACAATTAGAGTAACATAAACCGAATCAAGCTATCTTTATAAGGAATGGAATGTCAATTTACCCACGATTTATTTAGAACAGATTATGTATCAATCCTAGGAGTCACGTGACGTTCGATTACGTCACACCGATAATAAATTTGGTTGGTTTCGTTATCTGATTGGTCGTTTGGTTCAGAGGGCATTTGTTTTAGTTTGTAATAAAGGTAATGTACTGTACCAAATGTGTACAGTGGAGTATTTTAATAGGTGCTATATTTTAAACAACCTTAATTAATATAGCCGGCCTATTGTGAATTAAAAAGGAACAATAATGTCTTTTTAGATGGTTTAAATTATAGTATCGTGATTTAACTACTTGTTAATGAATAACAGTGTATACAATTTTCAAAAAATAAAAATTAATTGTATAATATTTACATGAACACTAAAACTTTAACGAAGCTTGTTAAACAGAACATAATTCCATTTACATTAACATAAGTATTGAAGATTGGTTTATGAAAAATCATGAATTCATTTTATAATTTATTTTTACAATGATTCTGTTATGCTTATTATATTTGAACCTCACAGGCAAACGCGTAGACTTTAAGGCTCAATATTTTACATGTCATTATAACACTTTTCTGTACCAATTATAATTGAAAACAAGTTTTTTTTTTTATAAAATACTATAATGTGTTGATATATGTATTTATTTTATACTATTGAATTTGACGCAGTCAACTAGTGCCTTAAAGAGCCAACAGATGGGTCCAATAGGGCCTATGTTCAACAGAGGTTGTGAGGCAAGCGTAATAAGGTACCGAGGCCACGGCCAGAAGCAGTAGAAGGAACGGAGGGATTTTAGTCAGTAAGAGTCTGACACTCCCTCTCGCCTTACCCTAGGCGAAAGAAGACAATGATTTACCGCTCAGAAAAAAGAAGCCAACTAGCAAAATCAGTCATTGAATAAATGGCCCTTGCATTTAATTCTCTTCACAATTCCGTCATTCTTAAGCAAGCGGTCTCAACAAGAGTTTTGTTCTTTAATCAAAACCGTACCTGATTTTGAGCCCAGTGACGTAATTTCTACGCTCATAGAAACAGAAATTATAGGAAAAACTTTATATTTCATTGAGACAAATCACCCATTGTCTTTTATAATCCCAACTAAGCAATAGCAAAACATTCAGTTTCCTAGTTCAACAGTAGGTATATTGGACAGTTGGCTGCAGCACATTTATTATTTTTAATTAGAATGAGTAATATACCATATATTAATATACACTCAGCGTTGTAGTATCTACAAATCTCTTTTGGCAAAAATTAACAAAAACAAATTGATAGGAATTCATTCATTAACAAGACGATAACATTGTATACTTATTATTAAATACTACATACAAAGTAAATCATTTCGTTATGTAATATACGTACATAATGTCATTTCATTTCAATTCCAACAAAGAGGTACTCAAAACTGATAAAAAGTCAACAAAAATATATTGTTAATAAAAAATACACAATAAGTTATATTTTTTGGTTACACTATTGTCTTACTATGGGGATAAAAGGCACATAAAATATGTGTAAATAATATTATAACACAACGTTACTAATTTTAATCCCCGAACGAGTAACATCCACTTTCAACATTAATTTAACAATCCCATTTTAATAAGGCTTAATCTCACATAATTGATTGAACCAAAGAATCTGTCTGTGAAACTGATTTAACAAGAGTAACCATGGAGTTTTTTCTTGTTCTTCTCCATTGGAATCTACACTTTGGAACGAGCAAATGGCTTTACTATGAAGACCGACAGACTAACACTTTTTATCTTTAAGCTTTACATAGCGTTAAAATGTGTATGTAAGGGTCTAATTGAAAAAAAATACTTTGACTTTGGACGACCCTGATGCAATTTACGAAAACAATATTCCAGACTTCATGTTGTAACTGGATAATATTCGAAAAAACCCCTGTTTGGTTCGGTCGTCGCATCGCGCCCACACATTCAACAACCAGTGCAGAATATAACTTAGCAATAAAATTTATGATAGGTATATTTCAACTACGAACTAAGTATTATATTTAATAAAAATAAGGCAAGGCAAAATGTATTTAAATTTAGGCTAATGAAAAATGACACTTATAGACTAGACAATTTAGGCCGAATTTGGGTAGCCAATGTAATTTAAAGCTCAATTCTATCTCTATCTCTTTCATGTAAATGTCCTAATTGATGTTTGGCACTATGACTGAATTTGAATTTGAAACAGTGGTAAGTATAATTATTTATGATATCTAAAAATGGAAACCAATTATAGCAATTTCTAGTATTGTCTTGTAATATATCTGAATAGAAATATTTCATGGACACTTTTTTTTAACAAAGATAATGCTACCTAAACATGTACCTAACAGGGTATTTGTACTGACTCTACTATTGTCTATTATTGTATCCAATTAATTATAACAGTTTAATTTAAAAATATCGTACGTATCAGTCTCTGTATTGCACATTAAACAAAAAAATGTTTATAAATATGTAACAGTTGTATATGAAATGTTATTGCTTTGATTTATGTGTAAGGCATTATTAGAATTTTGATATAATTATTAGGTACTTAGTTTTGTTCCCATCCTAGAGATCGGTCGACGGCCATCTTCCACTGTTTGTACCGCATATCTCTTTCGTCATCAGTTATAAGAGAGGTGTATGTTGTTCCACTGGTCATCGGTATGGGAGAGCCTTGCTTAGAAGGCTCCACTCCCCAATAGGCACAGAGCGCAGCCCCTAAAGCGGTGCTCTCAGTAAATCCAGCCTTTATTACGTTGATTCCAATTAAATCAGCTTGCATTTGCATGACTAAAGCATTAGAAGTCATACCACCATCCACCTGGAAAACGGAAATTTGGAATTGGGTGAATCGATAAATTTTCTTCTATTTCTTTATACGAGGATTTCTTTCCAGAAATTGCAAAATTGAAATTTGATTCCACTGGGATAATTATTAACCAATATAGACCTTGCATGAAAAGTCGGATCCAGTTATTTACACTAACCCCCGGTTTCCGAAAGGCCGATCAATGTTAAAATCAATTTAATCTCTTGTCAAGTCATCTGATTGGTTGACTGAATTATCGACAATCAATCAGATGACTTGACAAGATATTTAACAGGAGATTAGTTAATTTTAGCGTTGACAAGCCTTTCAGAAACCGGGTGTAACTCGAACAAACGGTCTGACGACTGGTGATCTAAATGAAATCCGTTAAAAAGTGTTCGAGTGAAGAATCGTACGGCGAAGCGAGGGCAGACCTTGTACTTCTAGAAGGACCGACATCATTGGATAAATTTTATCCGTTACACCTAATTCAAATGTCATTATTAATATTAGTATGCTGTGTTACTTACATCAAAACATTAAGTTCACTGTATTTTTTACATCTTACATTACAACATAACTTTGTATTTTTTGTTCTATATAATGCTATTATACAATTTTATTATTATCTATGATTATCTTTGAAGAGCTCGAAAAGCAAACAACGATTTGTCTTTTGGAGGGAAAAACTAATATGGAGGATTTTGTTCAATACTGGACATCTTCCGACTGATGTTGATGATGATGATTATGATGATGATGATGATTGAGCAATATGTTTTTTTTGTTTTGTTAATTAAAATGATTACCTTAAGCAATTGCAGAGGAATACCGCAGTCTTCATTCATAGCATCGAGTATATCCCGCACTTGAAAACAGACAGCTTCGAGGGCAGCCTTTACAATATGATTGGAATTTGTATCCTCAGAGATTCCGCATATAACACTGGAAAATTTAAAAAACTCGTTGAATTTAATATAGAAATATAAAAGTGTATGTGCATTATATATAATTATATGAATAAGTAATATTTTTTAAATTATATTTAACACATTTAACATAAGACCACATTCTATCCCAAAACAAAAAAAAATATTATATAGCATCCAAGAATTCTTTGAATGTTCCTTAATTCGTGAAGGGGTGCTTCACAGAAAACATTCAAAGAAGTCTCCTCTGAAGACAGTTAGAAAAGAAACTGTGTAATGTATGTCTACATCTGTAAAAATTATTATACACTTATAGGACAATAAATGATTCCTCGATCTTTTTCCATGTGAAGAGGTGCTTTTACGCGAACCAAGCTTGGACACAAATAGGTCGGCTCGACTGGAGTAATACCACGGCTTCACAAAAAATCGGCGTGAACCAACTACAGCGTTCCGCCGTGTGAGTAAGGTAACCAAAAGCCCAATGTCGCTAATTCTCTGAAGTCCTATTCTCCAAAAGTCTGGCAAAGCTTTCCGTAACTCCTATGATGTTTGCGGGTGTCCCACAGGCGGTGTCGAATGCTTACCATCAGGTAAACCGCATAACTGTTTGCTGACCTATCACACTGGAACAAAAATATAAACAAGCTGACTCTTATACATTGTTATTTAAGTCTGTCCTAGTCATTAACGAATATTTTAAGACTTAATACGGTCAGCACTTTGTTTTTCTAATTATATAAGATGGCAGTAAAACAATGTACTTACCCTCTAGCATCTTGACGCCAATACGGTGCATACAAACCACTGAAGGCTGGTACAAATACAACACTACCATTCTCTGTAGCTTTCTCAGCTAAACCTTGAGAATCTTTTGCACTCTCCAAAAGGCCAATATTATCTCTAAGCCATCCTAGAGCAGCTCCGGCAACAGCTACCTACAATATAATTTAAGACAAACTTATTATTTAATCAGTCGAAGTATTTTTTTTTCGTAATATGTATCTAAATCTCTGGCGGACTTTACACCATACGAATGAATAATTAATAGGTATATTATAAGTAAATACTTTTTATGTTTACATACATATTCTGTACAAGTCGCAAGGATAAACCCACTAAATCAAAGGTCATGAAAATTACGTAGCTATTTTGTACAAACTAAACACGATTTTGTTTACATTACTATAGATTTGAAATACGCACAACAATGTAAATGAAAATACTACTTACTGATCCTTCAAGGGCATAGTGAGGCTGGCTTTTGCTTCCTAACTGATAAGCAACTGTAGTCAACAGACCTCGGCCAGAATTGACGCGAATATCGCCTGTATTATAAAGTACAAAGCAACCAGTTCCGTATGTAGCCTTTGCCTGGCCCTTTTGCAAGCACATTTGGCCAACTAAGGCGGCCTGTTGGTCTCCAAGACAACCAGCTATTGGTACACCTTTCAGTGGACCATCAGCTATGTAACCATAGACCTGAAAGTGTCAAGTGTTATCTATATTTATAAAAATCAATGCCACTTTTCGTTGTAATGTCACTATGCCTTTGCTGATGTTGCTAATTCTGGTCTTGAATTATTCTAGAAGGTCCAGGGGAGGCTTAAAAGGCCAAAACAAATAGTTATATAAGAGGCGGTACGGAGTTCGCCAGGTCATCTAGTACATAAATAATTTTAGTCAAACAACTAAATACTTCTGGTCCGACGGTTATAATTTTAAAAGTGGAATCTGCTATAGTTAATTTTAATCTATTGATAGCTATATAACTTTATAGATATCTTGTGTAGCTATCAATTTATTTGTTAATCGGCCTCTTTCAATTATCACTAATTAGTGTGCAGGCACAGACAATAATTTTGATTAGAAGTAGGTGAACAAACAAGTTGACCTTATTAGTCATACTTTATGCTCTTTGAAACGAGCATCATAGGGCAATTGTAATCGTTTGTTTCACAAAATGAATGGATCTCTTGCTTTACACAATAAATTCTATAAAATATTAAGTGGTAAAATCACATTATGCTAAAATAAAACCTGCTTACCTCAGAACTAGACTTAATTTCCGGTAACACACTTTTAGGAACTTCAAAAAACTTTAGCAACAATGGATCCCAGTCCAGGTTCTCAATGTTCATCATCATAGTTCTTGATGCATTAGTTACATCGGTGACGTGTTTCCCATCATTGGGACCACCTGTAAAATTTGTTACAGAACATAATACAAATTTAAATGGTTTCTAGACTGTGAGTAAGTTCTTTGGTACAAAATAAAAGCCATGGTTTACCTTCATAAAACACTAAGGATTCTTATTCTTCATTGTATTTACCTGTCAAATTCCAGATGATCCAAGTATCAACTGTCCCGAAACAGCATGTACCTTTCTTCATAGCATTCTTTATAGCATCCACATTGTCACTCAGCCATCTTAATTTTACTGCACTGAAGTAAGGTGACAAAGGAAGTCCACATAATGGCTGTAAGAATGTACAAACTATTATTGTATATTTATGTAAGTATACTGTGTTGTATACTATGTTTAAGTTATTACTATAAGTCGCTCAGGAAATAAATACTTAGTTGGATTCTCAAAACTAAATGGTAATGATTATATGAGGAGTTGAAAATAAAAAGAAAGATGTTTTATAGAAATGTCTAAAAATGATTTTAATTTCATAAAACTGAATCACTGATCACTGAACATTAAAAAGTTTTAATGACATATTTAAACTACATTTAAGAATACAAAAGCAAATCAAGATTGTTGTTTATTGCCCATATATTTCCTTAGATTAGAAATGTGTTTACCTTTAAATAATTTTTGTTCCTTGTTTTATTGGGTACCGTGTCCAATAACTTGTCAATAGTTGAAGAAGTTCTCATGTCTAACCAAACAATCGCATTGTGCAAAGGTTTGCCTGTGCTTCGGTCCCAAACTATTGTTGTCTCTCTTTGGTTAGTTACACCAACAGCAATTATATCCTGGAATAAAAATTACATAAGTAACTGTGTCATTTGCAACTTTCATCACAATGTTGTTCAATATTAACTTCCTGACTGATTTTGTTAGGAAAAAGTAGGTCACACATAAGTCTGTCTTTATAATACAACATTATTCCAATGTAACAAACATTTGACCAAGCAAAGGTATAGAGGTACTTGGTACTTTCACAATGTTTAAATAGCTGCTATGTAATAATTTCGTTATACAAGATAATTTATATGAATGATGTGCTACATAACTTTACAGAAAGTTTTATGAAAGCGCTACTAGTTCAAGCTTATATTAAGGTTTTATATAGTTATAAACAAAAAGAGTTTCCTTAAAATAAACAGGTCTACCTATTTATTAAGAGGCTATATTTTATCCCAACTTTTAGTTTCTCACTTAAAAACCAAAATGATAAGATCACAAGGAATCTGATTGGTAAACAAATAAAGTTTCAAAATGTAAATGAGGATAAATATCAATATTTCAATGATAGAAGAACCTTATTATAACTTTAATGACAATTACATAACATTTTTAGTGCCAGTAACATTGAATGCATTGGATGCATCAATGGTTATGATGCATTACCCTACCTAGTACTCAATTTTGATTTCATCATTCAGATTTAGTATTTTAACTAAGCATTTGAAATCCTGATAGGTATACAACTATGAATTAAAAAGTATAAATAACTATTATTAATTATTATAAACTAGTGGCCTGCCCTATAGCATTGATCATTCGAAATAGTTTGTATAACTTAGGATTGCTTTTACAAAAATAGCTAACTTAAAAAATAATATTTTTAATGAAATAATCTACAACTTTCCTACATCCTAATTGTTCCCTCTAATTCACAAATGTTTTATTTCATAAGATCTTGCTTCGGACTGAATAATAAACGCAGCAAAAAGGAATTGGCAAATTAATTCAGGTATTGTCAAGTTATGCACTAACCAAAACATTTTGTTTCTTTGATACAAGTAAGTTTAGACATATTTATGAGAAAACAGGCATGTATAGATACAAGACAAATTATATACTTATGGAAAAACAATAGTACCTACATATAAACATAATTAAGTGAATTTATATTTTATAACCCATAATATTATGCTTATGTAATCATAAAATTTAATATCATTTGCATAAAAGGTTTATTTTGTAAGCATTTCGGAGAGTGTGATACAGATGTGGCAACATGTTATCAACATTTTAAGCGCCAAACAAAAGTTCTCATGGCACATGTGAATACTTTTTATAGATTAACTATGCTTACTTGTGTGCATTTATGATTTAAAGCTTGTTATCTAATCTTTTATTTTTGAGATCTTTGTCACTTAACTATTAATTTAATATTTAAAGTAAATTCAAAACACACTTTCTTTATGTATGTATGGGCCTTTGAAAATGTATTAGCAGGTGTCTAACCTGCTCATAACTAACTGAATTCAAGTAATAATCACAAACCTTAGCTGATCCTCCTAATGACACCAAAGACTCAACTGCTTTCTGTATGCATGTCGTAACCACCTCTAAAATTGCGTTCGGATCTTGTTCAACCCATCCTTCTTGAGGAAAAATTTGCTCAAGCTCCTTTTGGTGATATGCTACAACTTCTGAAGAATTAGCTTTGAAAATAATGAATCGCGCACTTGAGGTGCCCTCGTCAATGGCACCAATTAGAGGACCGAATTTTCCATATTCAGACATTATTATGATCACACACTACACTCGTTACGGATTAATCTTTATACTGCAGTTGTTATCTTTATAAGTTTTATTTAATAGATGAGGCGGTATTATCAATAATCTTCTTATCTAATGTATTTACAGTGTATGAATACGTTATGGTATATCCATGTACGTCGTACAGCTTGTGCAACGCAGACAATATTAAAAAAATTGAAGGAAAAAGGGAGATGACACAAAAACCCGGGAAGTAGTAAACACAACGATAGGTAGGTAAGTGAAGTGAAGTGATGTACCGAGACGTCATCAAATGACACTTTGATAATTATTGACATTGACATTTGCTGCAAGCAAGCATGCCGAATACCGACAAAATAACGAGTATCATAATTTTTTTATCGATATCATTAATTTTTAATTTTTCGATACATTGTATTTGCACGGAACCGAAAAAAGCTACCTTCCCAAAAACCCACTTTAAAAAACGAAAAAAGTTTCAACAAATTAAGAGCTTTTTTCGCAATGGCTGAACAAAATTTTACTGTCACTTAACAATACTGTGACTCGTCGTGGATAGTGATGGGCCGAGAACAAATACTCATTGTTATCAATAAAATTGTCAACAGTCAACAGATATTGAATTTAACAGTCAAGAGAATTTCCAAATTGGTTTCGTTTAAAAAATACTAGATTTATTAGTTAGGCTTTACAAAATGCAGTATTAGAAGAAAGTTATTGTAAGATGTAATGTTTTTGTTGGATATGCAGTATGTATATTTGAACGAGGTACTTATTCAAACCCCCAATAGTTTATGCATAGACTACACCAATAAAAATATAAACAATAAAAAAACCTGATTAATGACGAACAAAACCGTTCCAAAAAAGTGGTAAAAAATTCGCAACGTTTCGACACCCTAGCGCTTATCGCAGGACATATGCGCGGTCAATGACCGACGCCGACGCGACTCGCGACGTAGGTATGAATGCATTTCACTTCATACTTTAAATCTGGCTTAGGACGGGAAAAAATATCTAGGAACATAAAAGAAAAAAAATTTTTGCCGTATTTAAAAAATGAATGTTTAGGTACTCACGTACGCGCGCTAGTACGCGGGCGCTCCGTCATGTTGTTAGTACAAGTTCTGGTAAATATTTAAAGACACTTTTTCCAGCATTTCACTCACTATTACATTATTTAAAATGTTTAAATACCTACGATACACTGTCAAACCGTCCATCAATAAAATAAGGGCCTATTAAATTGTTATTTAAAATACCTGCCCACACATATTTACACTAAAGCGATGTTTCGAGGTTTATCGTAATTAACCCCAAGTTCCTGCACGGATCTTAAATGGAAGGGTGCATGTCTTCGTTGTGCAGCAGCTTCCACACAGTCATGTGTGATACACCAAAACGTCTTGCACCATTTCGAGTCTGTCTGTCTGTTGGGGTACATTTCTCTGTACAAATTAATGGCAGCACGCACACGATCATTTGATAGCGCGTAGGCACGAATCATATCCTTAATATTCTTCATTTGAATACTGGGACAACATTATTACACTACAAACAGTACTTAACAATAGGAAATGCACTTACGTAAATTTGGTAAACGGGGATGTTTACACAATGCGGAAGCGGCGGCGCGCTCGCATAGACTGGCGGTCAGCGGACCGAGGGCGCGGGCAGGGTGCGTGCGAGCCGGTACCTACATGTTCGGCACAGTCGGCGACATAACAAAAGAAAGGGGCGGGGCTTGCGCGCTCGCTTCCTTAGCGACAGGAGCGGCACGTGTTTGGCGCGTAATTATGTAGGCATTTTACTATCTCCGAGTTCGCTTTGCACTCTGTGTTCTTGAATACGGTATTTTATCGGATAATTAGATCAAAAATTAAGGTCCTAGTTTTTTTACATATTTGGGACGAGAATCGAATACTGACCACCCTCCTTCAATAAGTTCGTCGTTCAAATTTACATACTGTATATATCAACTTCATGCCTGTATAAAACTGGCTGACTACTCTATGAGTAGAAATATAAATGTGTCAGGGTGTTTTGAATTTTAAAATAGGTACTGTTAGTTGTTCCTAATATGTCTGCTTGCATGTACCACCTTTGATAGCTATTTTATTATACTTTTTATCCAGTAATCTGTGTTTGCTCTGCATATTTTCCTAACAGTTTTAACAAAGCCAGCAGCATTCCCCCACAACAGAATACCTTATGACATGATGCTATGGAAATAGCTAAAATAAACTAGCCGTACTGTATCTACATCTGTTAATTTTTTGTTTATTTAACGGCATCCGCTGCAGAACTGAGCTTTTTCGACAACCTATCTATATGTGGGCTCCACTGGAGCTTAGCGTCTAGGATTATACTTAAAAAGACAATTGTATCCTCAGGACTCAACTCCTCGCCATTGACAAGCAAGCTGGTTTTTACCTGTTTATCATTTAGTGTTGTAAATTTTCTACATTTAATTTTGGTTTCATTAAGTAATAAATTATTGACACCAAACCGGTAATAGTACCAGTAGTACTATTTCTGAAAGAGCACTGTTTACGTGGTCAATAACTGATCGTCGCCATCAAATTTTGAATAATAGTGAAGTTTCATCAGTACGAGTACAGTAGTAAGGAATAAATATGAGATAGTGCTGTACGTTTTCAGCACTATCTCATATTTATTCCTTACAAAGTACGGCAAGTCATTTATATAAATAAGAAACAAAAATCATTTATACAAATATTTATATAGAATAGAACCCTATTGAACGCCCATCTTCACAACAAAACAGAAGAGAACAAGACAGTCTCCTAATGATTTTTGGATATTCAGTTCTTACTCATTTGATCCCACTATTTGAAATCCGGACCTGAAGAAGTTCAGGTGAAATCAATCCTATTTGCCATAACACCAATCGGATAACCAGTTACCACGGCACGCGCAAAAACCTTCGCATCAAGATACTTTGTGATATTTGCAAAATTATAATGCTGCTCAGTGTTAGGTCGTTTTGTGTGATAGAAAGGCAACGAGCTGTCTGATTACCTGATTATATGTAAACGGCGCCGTCCATGGCCACTTACAACGCCAGACGAGTTTCAAGTGCGTTGCTGACCTTTTGGGTGTTAGGGTTTCCAAGATTTGGAGGTTGGGATTCTATTGGGTCTTCGGTGACTTAACTTACAGGGCGGAATAAGTCGCTGTTGTTGTTTCACTCCGGTTTTCTGTGAGGCTGGCTACGCTCCGGTCAAGCCGACCCGTTTGTCTCGAAGCATGTTTTCGACTTAGTTGTCTTTATGTCATTACGAAACTAAAACCATAAAAACTTCTTATTTTATGTAAGTATTTACCAATCACGGGACCACAGCGTCCCGGTCATTTGGAAGGCGTACGAGGGGCCGGAGCCAACTGCGCAGAGGCCCTTTAGACAACTTTGATCTAAATGAAATGGGACACAAACCAGTGACTATCCCTGTATGCACTATGGAAATATGACTATTGCGAATAATGTAAACAAAGTACAAGGCTATGGGTGTGGGTTGCTATGGGCTAGTAGGATGGGAACTATGAAATGACTATGGTGGGTAATGTATGGTGAAACAATGTAATTTATACACGTAAAAATGGCAAGTGGAGACTCGCCAACTGACCGACCGGGCCCCGGGAATGGTTGCTAGTAACAGCAACAGAAGGACAACGGAAATTTGAGTGGCTGAAGGGTGAAGAAACTACTCAGATCATCTGCATCTGCCTAAGCATCCTGCATCAACGGCCCAATCGCCGCTTACGAACAGTTTCCACCCACCGAGCAGGATCACTACTCTTGCGACTCCACTCTGGACGATAAATGAAGGCAAGCCAGAGGTGGAAGACCTGATCCTCACCATCGTTCACTACGGTCAGCCAATGAAGGCAAGCCGGAGTTAAGGAATGGTGACTCCTCCCTGAAGCAATTGGGATGATGGTAGCCCGCGATGCTATTTTCTTAATGCAGCTTAGGTTCTAATATGGAGGTCAAAAGTCAAAAAAAGTCAAAAGTAAAAATCATTTATTTCAATTAGATACAGTAGGCACTTTTGAACGTCAAGCAAGCAAAAAAGAGGTCTTCTTTACTTTTAGAAGTACATAATTATAATATGTTCTGTGCTCTCCAATCACATGGCAGCCTGACAGAGTGATGCCTCGATGACCTGAACAGGTTTATATTACTTAACTCGTTTCAAGGAGGTCCAAAGAAGCAATAATGTTCTCTTTTTTAAAAAAACAAACTTTGTCTTTCTTACCACTTACCTTAACATAATAATATGAGCTAAAAGACAGTAACGATATATCAACATAATATCGTAACTTTCAGCTAATATTAGCCTAGTGGGCACATCACTACACAAAAAGCTGTCAATTCACCCAAACGTCAATATTCTCATATAGGTATAGGTATCGGTGACATTTGGTTGACAGGAAAATCGAATCTCTTCAACTGAAAAAGAATTAAATATTAAAATATTAACATAAAACGCTTGTTCTGCGTCTTTCTTTATACTTTTGAGTTTAGCATTTAAATATCATTTTACTTCTGAGTATTATGTTACTCTTTGACGAAAGAACTGCTTGTATGGAGTAGCTTCTGAGTACTTACGCTCCGTTATACCAGCCAGACCTATAGCATAAAGTAGCTCTCCATATCCATCAGCGTGCAGTTTAATTGGCTTTTTATATCGTCAATTAAAAGCGAATTGTGTCTGTGGGGTGTTTAAATTATAATTAATCTGAAATGGATTTCAAGATGCACGAGTTTACCCACGCTTTAGTGGGCAAGGCTACTCCAGGATCCAGTTGTGGAGATGGTATCGAATTCGACGAAGTACGACGGCAACATGACTGCTATTTGAGACTCCTGAGGGAGTTGAATTTAGAAGTGGTTGAAGTCAATTTGCAAGGTACATTGAGTGATAAGCTATTGCTAGAAAATCTGGCCATTGCTTGCCATGGTATTGCCCTTCTACCAAGGAACAACTCTTCTATTGAAGCACACAATGTAAGTATATATTGTATTGTATATAATACCAATATTGTAATTCATGATACATTACTAAACTATTGCTACTATACTTGCCTGGCATATTGTTGAAATATGTTTAATTTTAACTTTAGTTTGATGTTTTATTTTCTTGTTATTTGTATTTCAACTACATATAGAGCACTGGCGAATACCTGATTGCAAGTCTATGCAAGACTCAATCTAATTACATATTATGTTTTTATCATGTCTTTCTTATAGGTGTAATAATATTATTAGAAAGAGTTACCAAATTAGTGAATTTTTTTTTGACTTGATAATACATGTAGAGGTCAAGGCATATAAGTCTGTAAATAATGTCACACAATGATTGAATGCAAATTTAATCTAATTTAGCTGCTAAAGTAAATTGATGTGACCTCATTATCAACTTTGCAAATTGACATGAAGACCTTTATCCAGCCTTTAATTATGGGAGTTAGTTACTCATTGTTGAGTAATTTTGTATCTTTTGTAACCTTAGGCATGTGTATTCTTTGCATGTATGCATACATTGGAGTTTGTATAAATGCTATGGCGAATTGAAATGAATAGACACATAATAATATGGAGATGCCACATCTATGGATCCTTGAGTTCAACTGCTATCTTATAAAATTTGATTATGTGTGTAACTTCATTTATATATTGTCAAAAAAGTTTTGTGTTGTTAAGTAAACTAGATTCTACTGTGGTTTTACAGCAAGCTGAGCTGTGTTTATGTAGTGTACAATATACATTATTAGCCAAACCATATTTTAAAAGTTCTTTATATCTATTGTTGCAGACAAAAATTTTGAAAGAAATTTTGCAAAAAGAATTGGGTCAGACTGTTATTGATCAAGTAGATTCAGATGCCAATATTTCTTGTGCTGATGTGTTGTTTACAGGTAAAAATAGTTTGTACAAATAATGGTATAATTGTTTTTATTAAGTTCAATTGAACCTATGCTCCTTATTTGGGAGGCTATAAGAGCAATTAAGTGGTTAAGTTTTAGCTCTTCAAAGTTTTTAAATACCCAAATTGGTAGCTCCCTGTTCCATGCCTGGTCATTATATGGTGTACTGTGAAATGTTGATATTAGTAGCTGTTACTCTAGGGAGTAATAATAGGCAGCACAGTATAACAGTTTGAACTTAAATAGCAGTAATTAACTAAGGTAATATTAAATGATTAAGCCACCAAGCTTGTTAACTTGATGTTTCTCAATGACATCTTTGATTGAAATGTGTTTACAGTTTAATGATCATGTTATCTGTATGTTTTCAGGCCGAGAGTTCTTTGTTGGCATATCTGATAATACAAATGAAGCAGGAGCTAGCGCTGTAGCTGAAACTTTTCCTGAATTTCCGTGCACACCTATTAAGGTAGGTTTGTTTAAGACTTAATCAAATTCACCTATACCTTAAAAGTTGCTGTAAGCAAATGAATGTTAAGTATGGGATAGAAAGGTAGAGTATGGCAGAAGAGGATACAGCAAGGCAATTTTGACAAATTGTTCGTCAGAAAGCCAAGATTGTTGTTTTTGTTTTTTCCCCTGACACTGCAATCTATTTCTTTAACAATAATCCATTTAAATGTTTTGGCATGGTTTTCGATCCCCAAACCACAAATTATAATTAATATCTAATGATTACATTGTTTCATACCATTTACATAAAAACACAGTTAGCAGGAAAATGTGTACTTAGTTATTAATGTATATTATTACTGCTTTTGTGTGTTTAATATTAACATTTGAGGTACTATACCTACTCACCCAGACTTGTTATGCAAATATAAATGTTAATAATATATATTTTGATTATATAAAAAGCTTGAGATTACTATTAAAAATCACAATTAACCAAAGTAATGTTGTAGTCAGTCACTGATTTATATTTTCTAAGTATCGCCATTGTACCTACTGCCTGTCTTGTAAGGGTTGGTTTTTATAGAAGTAGTAGAAACCATATGATGATTTTTCCACTTAAAAATCGCATAGTACCCTTGACTTGCATTACTTGGCTTACTTTGAATACTTTCTTATCTAACTTACTTAGGGGATATTCTGTAAATCTATTTCTAGGTTGAATATATTATTACATTTTTAAATTTCAGATATCAAAAGGTTGTAAGGATTTAAAGAAGTACATCACAATGGCGGGCCCTGATGTATTATGTGTCAGCGCTAGCAAGGAAGCCAAAGAATTGCTTAAGAGAATCGAACGCGAAGCTAACTTCACTTATCAAACTTTGACGGTTCCCGAAGACGAGGCTGCCAACTGCGTTTATGTTAATGGCACTCTAATACATAGGGCTATTGAGGAAATTCCTGAAGCATTCAAGGTATGGTTTTGCTATAATATCTTATAGTAGTAAGTTATTTGATGTTTCAAATAACTTACATGGCTTTTTATGTGGGCGAATAACTGCTGACCTTAATTACCTCATGGATATCTGGACAATTTCACACGCCTCAATTATCAGGCAACCGGAGCGTACGAAAACGGCCTTCGTATGATCCCCAAATTGGTTTTCGTGTTTTTAGGTTATTAATACACACAAGCAAGACAAAGGAGAAAACCGTAAAAGTGCTGATAAACTTGAGCATTCACTTGTAATACGCATTCTTGCGAAAGTTACATCACTGATTTTTTGTTTTTGCATAGCATTACTAGCGCATTAAAAGTAAGATCCCGTCTCCACTCATCCAATAGCAATCACTGTTACCTAAGACAACTAGTAGGTACTGTGTGATCTGCAATCAGACTTCCTCTACAAGGACAGAACAAAAACAGGATTTAACTTTCCCTAAATTGACGAACTTTGGGCTAAATGTAAAGTGATGGGCTTTGTGAAAATGGATATACATTATTGATAGTTGAAAATGTTCGCAGCATTGTAGTCTGTGTGGATATCTCGAGTAAATTAAAATGGCGAATGCTCAATGTTCTAGAATGTTCAAGTATATCAGCAATCGTTTCCCTTCTATCGAAATGGAATTTTAAACTTTTTCTATGTATTTAAATTATTTTTATATAGTAAAAGATATAATAAGCAGCCAGCCAGAAGTGCACATTATGGCATTTGTTGCATACATATATATAAATGTGCGCCTATTTTGTTTTACTTAGTAGTCTTTTGATTTTTATGAAATGTTGTCAAACCTTACAAATTGCATGGAACAAACATGATATATTGGGCACAAACACGGACGCCGTACAACTACCTACTAAGAAATTATCAATAATTGCAAAAATACAAGTTTGACATTTAATCTTTTTAGCAAAATCTTTACTTATAAAAATTTCGTGTGACGTGTTTGTCCGCGATGGACTCCTAATCTACTAAACCGATTTTAAATTTGATTTGCATTCCGTGTGCATTTTGTTCCAACTTGATACATAGATAGGATAGCTTACATCTCAATTTATAGTCACAATATTATTTTGACAAGAACCTTAGCCACAGCACAACGCGTGGCTGGGTCTGCTATTTAATTAAGAATCCACCACTTCTTGATAGGCTTTGGTCAGCCATGGGTATTTATAGGCTGACCATGTGAATTCTAATTGCGATAATTTTCCCAATATGTCCTTATTATTAATTACCCTCTTAAAACCTTCTCTAATTTTGTGTTCCAGGTCTTCTGTGAAAGAATCGACTTTGCTAGAAGATCTATTTGTTATTCGGAGTTTGCGAAGATGCAGGCCGGTTTGAGTTCGTGTTGTTTGCTAGTAAGAAAACCTTAAATGTATTCAGATCTTTGTGTGTGGAGCTCGATACACCTACACGTCTGCTTTGTATAAATAGGTAGTTTTCTAGCTGGAACTATCTAAATTAAATAATGATAATAGTTCTGATTGTACAGTTTCACTGAGATTATTAAGTTCTGATAATTGACAAATCTGATAACGGACATCCAATGCGAATGGTGTAGGTGTTATTGAAACTCCTAGGTAATGTTTTTATTTAATTTTATTTACCTTGGCCCAATATCACTAAACTGAAATTGTTTTAAACAAATAAATTGCGATCTGAGTTTATTTAATGATTTTAAATAAATAGTATTACACCACTATAAATCATTAAGGGCTGATTTTCAGTGGTTACATAAAAGTTACCTGGGGAATAATTATGATGCTGTTGCGTCAGAATGTTTGTATAAGACAGTGACAGCAACAATTTTGCTCCTCAGATAACCTTTATGTTACTATTGAAAAATCAGCTCAAAAAAAACATTACGAACTATCCTACCTCAAAGCACATACTAGCTATATGAATACAGTGCAATAATATTTATTAATATTTCACCTATTTACCAGTAATTATTCCTAAAAATACAAAATTTTAGTGAAATTGGGCTTTATTTAATTAACGTAAAAACTTATTTTTGAGCTTATTCTGCAATTTTTTTCTCACATAATGTCTGACACCAATGACAATAAAATAATGAAACAATAAGTAAACAAAATAATTATTGCGAAATTACTGGTTTAACCTTAATTAGATTTTCTGTATTCTGTCATAGAGTGGCATAAAATGTTATTGTAAGCAATTTTGATACAATATATGACACATAGGTATGTTGTTAAATGATGCATTTATAAGAACCTACATGTTATTCTTCTTAAATCATCAATTCAATATATATCTGCCTTTAAAACTTTTAATGTGTCATAAAAATCTATTTGCCAAAATATTTAAACACTTTATACTATAATAGCAAATCTATCATTCTTGATAGCTACGCTTCTTTCGACCTTAATATCTTTATACAGGTACTTGTACTACTTTGTATCTAAAAAAAATATTTAATGGTTGTTATTTGTCACAAATTGATATAAAACACACCATTCGACCGACCACAAAACCGGTCAGCTATCCGTGGTTTTCATACAATATCTTCCTTGTTTCTTCCCTCGTAGTTTCGACCTGTATCTCTAGATCTGTTGACCTTACTAATATTATTAATATTATCTATTAAGCCTAAGCATCTAATGGCTACATTTTTGACAAACCTTGAAAATATCTGACTCGATTTATTCGCCAAATATTTCTCAAGAGGTGGAACAAAGTGAACATTTCTTTTTTATAATCTATTACCTAATTATTCCCGCAACACTACAGTTGTACTCCTTTTTCAATCATTCCTTTACCTAGAAGACTGAGTGTAATGTACTTCGATCTCGTTTTCAATATAAACTGCATTCAGTTTGTAATGCCAATATTTCTTACTAAAATTTTATTCCAGTAATATATTCCTTATCATGCATTCCCCTATTATTTAGTTTGTAGTTTAAACAATCTTAATCCCAAGAGATATATAATTATTGATTCTGTATGTACGTATTTGTAACTTGAGTTATTTATTTTAATTGATTTTCAGAGTCTTTCCATAAAGGTTGTATGTAGTAAATTAGTTCATTCACCTACATAATAATATATTACGAGATTAGTTCGATCCACCCAAAATGTATTTTTTCTTCTTTGTCTATGTATAAATAAAGCTATAATATTTAATTGTCAGTTTTCAATAAGAAGTTCTCTTAGATCAAGGCCAGATTTCGTTTTGTGGAATTTTGAATTCTTGCTATCCTTTTCTTTTTTCGTGTCTTAGTTATTGTGTGTGTTTGAGTTTAGAGTTCGCAGTTTCTCTAATCAAAGTACAAGAAAACTGTTTGATGATTTCTTTACAAAACTGATTTGATCAGCAAATTCAAAAAATCATTTCTCATAAATAAGTCTATCTAGCAAATATTCCAAACTTTAATTGTTAACTTAGCTCTAATTAATTCTTGGTGGAATTTTCAGTTTATTTAATCCCTAAGTGACTTAAAATCTATGCCTACAAGTTTTTTTACTTGTTGAATAAATATTCGCTTACGCTTATTTCTCGATGTTGCCTCAACAACTCTGGTGTGGTAGTTGGATTATTTTATTTTAATCCTATTATTGTTGTTGTAAAAAGTATTAAATACTTAACTGATTGTATTGTGAATCTCTATACTGTACCTATTTATTAAATCACTAGCGTCGTAAACGCACTTTTTTGTTTGTGTCAATTTTAAGTAATATATTGTTGTTGTGTTATTATTAATAACTTATTAAATAATCAAAGTCCAGACGTCAACAGTATTTTTTTTGCTGTTATTTCATGTTTATTTTAGGATAATCGTTTTGAACAAATTATCTAAAAGTATCTTTTAAAGTACAAATATTTTAATTACTTTTATAGACGGTCTTTATGGACGAGTTATTATTTTTTTATTGCCCTATATTATTTTTTTATCCTGCGCCATAAGTGTGTTTATAAAACTATAGTTTCATATCCACACTAATTAGTTGATATACTTCAGACGAGTTTAATGATTATTAGTAGTTTATTTTATTTTCATTCTATTTAAAACTACAAACCCTTTCTTGGGTCTTCTTTATGCTTTTATATTGGGGTAGTAGTATCTATGTTTTAACTTAAATGTATTAGTCGTAATAATTTATTATAAGCTGCATATTTTATTGTCTTAATTATTATTATCTATGCACAATTTCAATGTTCTGTGCCGTATTTTAAACTTTATGTACTCGAAACTATGATGTATTTTCTCGTAAACTTTGTATATCTTTAAAGATCTGATTATTATTGTATTTAAATCGTGTCTTGTAACAATTCAGTGAAATTATAATTCCGATTTTAAAAATGTGTACTAAATTATAGTTATCTGTTGTATTTTATTAAATGGCAAGAAAATATCCTTCGCACGTACAAATAATAATTTCAATTAAGTACAAATAAACTAGCAAGGAAACCTAATCAGTTATTATTATGATGTTATATGTGGATTATTTAGGTATAAAAATTATATCTCGAAGTCATTTATGAATTTCCTTAAAAACTTGCTATAAGCTAAATATGTTTAAAGCTAAGTGTTAAATTTGCATTTGATTATGCATAATGTTTACTCTTATTGTTATGTATACAAGTATTAAACAAAATGTCTAAAGTAAAATATATTTGTAAGTAAACCTTGTTAGGTAAATTCTGTCGCACAAAACCTGGCTTCCCTTCTATTCACATGGACGTTTCTTCATTCAAGTCAGTCTTAACTTTGTAAATTTTTTTTCATAACTACTTTATCGACGAGATCTTATTCGACAGTGGTGCCATCTAGTGAATACAAACTCATGTAACTAATTAAAGGTTAATAGAATTCTCTAGAACACTCTAGAAGACTGCTAGTCTGGGATCTTGAGTAAGAAAATTGGTTTTTAATTCACAACTATTATACTCTGTCATCTATTAATCAAGTCATGGACCACCTCCTCCGCCACATCTTGCGCCTCGTTACCGCCATCTATTGACTTAAAACCTAAGTAAGACTCTTGTTATATAACATTTCTTGCTTCGCGCCATACGTAAATGTATCATAGTAATAAAAAAATATTTATAGTAGCAACTGGCATTAATAAGCCCATGGTTTTCTATATTTGAACTTGATTGTGGCTTAATGTGACATCGTCAGCAATAATTACCATGTGAAATAGTAATATTTAGTTATTGGTTATTTAGTATTATAATTATAATAATGAACTTCCATTTATTGAGCATAAGAATATAGTATTAATTGCATGTATTATTATCAATGGCTAAGCCTCAGATATACTCATTGTAAGTGCATTTGCCGCGTGTATTTTAACAATTATACTTAAAATATAATTTAAAAATTTTGCTTTTTTGAAAACCCAATTTTATACATCTGTCATCCGACTTAGCTAAAATATCTTATCTACTGGTTTAAAAGAGTTGCCAAGTGTGAAACGCAAATCGTCAGTCAAGTATAATAATGTACTCATAATAAGTATGTTATAATAGTATAAAATTAAGTCTGTAATACCAAGTAAAGTATATAGGAGTATATGAATCAAGGAGTCTTGTTCTCACGTTTTTATAATTCCATGATTACGACTGACGATAACAAGCATTCCCTAAACCTCTACTTTGTCTATTCCATTTAGGAAGAGTACGGTGACACCGAATGTGTGAAATTAAGCGAAACAAAAATCTCAAAACTGATTGATAACAAAATATGGATGATTCTACAAAGCTAACTGTATCTTTGTATATTTAACTTAACGTGTAAAATATATAAATAATGATATATACCTAACTTCAATATAGATATAGGTATCGCCAAATGTGTTCATGGGTGCAAAACTCAAGAACGGCTGGACTGTTTTATTGAAACTAGCGACTTTATCAGCATGTGCAGCGATTTAGATGCCTACTGAATTTGTGCCCCGGTATGACTTGCAATTGAAACTAATAGATCTGAATTGAAAAACAGTTAAATCACGTGGTTAGGTAATTTATTTTTTATAAATTGTTATGTCTGAGTTTAATAGTTAAGACTGGGTAGTTTTGTTGGGAAATACTTATGAGATTTTATATTTTTACATTTGATATCATAAAAATGTCAAATGTTTAATTATTTTAAATTACAAAAGACTTTAAATAATATTTCAAACACTTTGAGTTACCTAAAATTGCCTCTATCACGGTTATTAGATGATAGTGGTGGATTAAATAAAGAAATGCTTTATGATATAAGACTGATAAATATCATCACTTTAATTTTGTATTTATATATCGATTTGATATTCAATCAAAATTTTTAATACGATTCATTTTAAAATTTTCTAATACAAAAAGTCACCGTACCTTCTCATGTGGAAAGACAGTAGTTCAATTTTAAACACATTTGCAATAGAGATCGAATGTTTTTAATGATATCAAGTTTTTACTATACTGCATATTTATTGCTATACAACCCATAACTGATTTGTCTCATTATTTTTAAAACTTATAATCTATTCTGATTTCGATAAAATATATAAAATGAAACTGGCAGTCATAATATTATTATTGTTAACTTAATAAATAATATTTATCTAATTATAAAAATAAATGACCAGGATTCAAAAGAACACGAAAATCATTTTTTATATTATAAATATCATTTTTGCATCACATTATGTGTAAGTATTTTATAAATGTTAAAAATTGGTGTTGTATAATCCATTTAAATTTAATATTATTAAAATAAATGATGTACCAAAACTATTGTTGTATTTCTTAATTTTGTTTATACACTAGCGACCCGTCCCGGCTTCGTAAGCGTGCAATACTGATACTAAATTTCTTCTTATTTCGTGGATGTTATTATACCTACACAATAAAACATTCTCTTCACTATTTATTAAAACCGCATCAAAATCCGTCGTGTAGTTTTAAATATGTATATCCATACGAATAGGGACATACCTACTTTGATTTTTACTGTAGGTATGTAGTGGCTGTATAGTTCGTTCCATAATTAGAGACAAGAATTTGACAACAGCAAATGTCAAACTACAAAATAATGTGGCCAGATTTTTCAACATAGTGATGGGCCCGAGTACGATGTTTTAAATAAAATACCGGTACCGTTTTTTATAAAATACCCTGAGCAAAATAAAACAACGTTGCGTTGATGTTTTTTATAGTTTAGTCGAATTAATAATAATAATTTAAAATAAAAATGCGAAATCCAAGACTGGCTAAAAGAAAAACATTATATTTGAGGAACCTATGCTGAAAGCCGAGCTGTTGGAGATTTTCCGGGAAGAGAAGAGTAATTATGAATGATACGTCGTGGACTGATGGCTGCTAACAGGGGGGTCACTATTTTACTTTTGCCTCCTTACCATTGTGATTTTAACCCGACTGAGTTAGTATGGGCACAGGAAGGTACCAAGGAAAGTAGCTAAAAATAATAAAGCTTTTAAAATGCACGAAGTCCAGAATTTAATTTCGGTCTTTCGGTCAATACCGGTGGCGGGACTTCACTATTTAATAAATTGAAAAAACTTGCAACACTCGAAATGTCAAATCGTTGTCTCTAATTATGGAACGAACTATAGAATATGTTATAAAAATACAGATTTAAAATTGTTCTTAA